GGCTCTGTTATGATGAGAATACAAGCCTTAGATTTGGATCACCAAACGTACTATTTGATCCTCCCTTCACTTATAGGTGTTAGGAAGGGTAGGTATATTAGGTGTCTTACTGAGGTACCCCTTTTGACCAGATTGACCTAGTGCATATATTAAGCTCTAGCAACTTCCACAATTAGGACATGATGTTTTCCTGTGTCCGAGATGTAATGATACCACTTGTTTGAATACTGAAGCCCTAGTCCATCTCTAAAACTAGGACAAGGTATCCCAAGCCCTCATAGGGGTGTTTTGTTCGCCTTACTTCTTATATGCTACGTGTAGGATTCAATATGAGGGCTCATTGTTCATATCAATGGTTCAGATACATCAGTGGTTGGGTTAGGAATAGTTTACTGGTGTATACAGTGGTCAATAGTACATATATGATGATTGAGCCAAAATGTTACCGAATTCATGTATGATATATGAACTATGAGCTGAAATGCCGCCAAATTTTTGATTGATGTATGTTTTGTTTTCTCTGTTTGTTTTTCTTTGGCTAGGTAGTTAGTTAACCATAGCTTTAGAAAATTCAGACACCTCTAAATCCCTGTGGACTCGTGCTAGTAGGCTCTACAAAACTACAAATTTGATTCACGGTTAGCCAGTGTTAGTATCACTTCCATTAGTATCCAGGAGAAAGGTCAGAAAAGCACAGTTAATCCAGAGTCCGTGTCAGTCACCTCTCAGATCTCCTTCACAAATTTTGCGGTAGTCACCCCTCAGACCTCCTCTATTTAGTACCCCAATAAACCATTTTCTAGTCTCTCCAATGGCTCAAAATTTGCCAGATATCATAGAAATGATCACTAATCTCTAGCAGTCCATGGATGCTATTAATCATATAGTAGCTGCTCAGGGCGATACCATCGTTGGGATGCAATAACTAGCTGGGGCAACTGCTGCCCATCCACTGCCAGTTAATCATCCAGATCCAGGCCAACCTCTACTAATTGAGATTTTTTTAGGTTTGGCCAACCAGAAGAATTGGCCTAGGCTTCCTCCGCTAGAGCCTCGATACATCCAATTGAAGGAATTTTCCCTCGATATGGCCGAATTTGATCTAGCCATGCTAAAGATAGCCAAGTTAGAGAAGTTGTTCAAGAAATCCCAAGGGATCATTTCCATTCTTGATATAGAGGATGGGTACGTAGAAGTACCTGTCAAATTACAAGAAAGATTCAAGATGTCACATATTGACCGGTTTGATGCATCGAGAGACCCTATGGTATATATTCGTTTATTCTCAAATGTTTAGAAAACCATAGGTCTGACCCGTCTCCAGAAACTATCTTTGTTTGGGAGGACTATGTTGGGAATTGCTGCTACTTCGTATGCTAAACTGAGAACAAAGTGAAGCCAAATTGAGAGGAATTGGTTGAGACATTCATTGCTCAGTATTCCTACAATACGCAGATCGAAGTGACCACCCGAGATTTGGAAGCCACTCACCAAGAACCAAAGGAAAGCTTTGTCAAATTCATAACAAGATGAAGGGCTAAAGTAGCCATGATGACTAACAGGCCCTTAGAAAAGGATCAGATCTGGATAGTGGTAAGGAACCTTCATAGTAAGATGTTGCAAAAGAGGATAGTTCTCTTACTCTTTATCTTCAAAGATCTATACGAGATAGGAGTTCAAATTGAAGATGCCATGAAGCAAGGGATCATTGTAGATTAGAACGAACCTATAAGAAACACCTTTGTTTGCGTTTCCAATATTACTAACAGTAGTAACATAGCCGCAAAGCCATCAGAAGTTAGTATTGTCACCACCTCAACCAAAATAGCCAGCCCTTTCATTGATGCCACCCCGCAGCCCTATAATCGAAATCGATTCCTAAACCGTGACTTCCATCCACTCTATATGACCCCAACCCGAGCCCTTAAAATGTTGGTAGAAAAAGGCCATCTCAAACTTCCTAATCGTCGACCTCTTCCTGAGCCACTTCTACCTAGGCATGATGTATTCAAATACTGTGTTTTTCACTAACAACACAACCATGAAACCGACCGATGTATTCATTTCCACCACGAGATCTAGGACTTTATTGACCGCAAAATCATAACTCCACCATAAGCTCCACCACAAATGCCAAATGTCACCACTAACCCATTTCCTACCCATGATCGACTTCTACCACTTCCCCGTCTTTACATTATCCATAGACTATCTCCCACCTTTGACCTCAGTATATACATCACCTTCTTACTTACCTAAACCTGAGGTCCACATTCTTGAGAGCACCGATCTATGCATGATGAATGCACCTGAATCTTAGTTAGAACCTAAAAATCCTGTTGTGGTAGAATCTAAAGACTGAGAAACAATAATAGAAAAATGAAGAAGAGAAAGGCATGATCCCAATAACAATGGAGGTGCCAGTGATAGAAACCAAGGAGTTATTAGGATATGATCCCAGCAAATATCTAGTACCGGTTGATCATCCAAAATCGGAAGGGTGATTTACCAGATGCATTCTCCATTAATGTTATCAGGAAGAATGTACTTGAACAAGGATTGGACAACTTGGCTGATTTGGAGGAGGACTTCGATAACCTCCATTTCTTCGAAGAATAAAGTCTGTAAGATGTACAAATCGAATGGTGAAATCCAAACAATTTGGCCAACTTCCATGGATTGGCAAGTAATGGGGAGGGTTCGGAAACAGACATAAATGATAAAGAAGCAAAGAAAAAGGAACGAGCTAGTAAAAAAGCAAAGGGGAAGGAAAAGGTAGGAAAAAATGGTAAAACCAAAAAAAAGCAGTAGGTCAGAAGAATCCAAAGGTAGAAGAAAGTGAGAAAGAACTAAGGGTTCAGAAAGAAGAGACTGGAGAAGAAACACCAGGGCTAGAAAGAACTGGACCAGTTGAGCCAACCACAGAAGAAGATAGATGAAGATCTAATCTGCCATAGGCGCACTTGAGAAGAAAGGAGATCTTTTCAAAAATCCAGTCAACATCACCTTACCATCCAAGAGGAGTTGATTAGAGTGTGGGAATGATACACGCTAAGCTGGATGACTGCCTGTCTATAAATGTAGGGGAGTGGTTGGAAGACAATGATCTCCATTTCGCCCATATCGATGAAGGTTAGGGAAACAATTCGTCGGACGACACCTGGTATTACGAGAAAATTGATTATCTAACTAGGAGTAGGCATTTCATCAAGCCCTTACATCTAGATCAAGGCGAGCCATCAAGAAAAGATGTGGAAAAAAGGAATGAGAAGGAGAAAGATGAAGAGGAAGATCTTGTTCTTATGCAGTTGAAGAAAATCCAAGCTAACATCGCAATTTGGGGTTACTCATGGTATCACGAGAACACCAACAAGCTATGCTCACAGCATTAAGCAAAGCCAAGTTATCAATCGATACCATAACAGATTAGCTAGTGTCATTGATTACTTCAACTGGGCCGATTTCAACTATGACTTTCTCAAATAAAGAACTCCCTCCAGAACAATCAGAGCAGAACAAACCTTTGCATGTATCTCTGGAATGCCGGAAAAAGTGGGTCCCTATGGTCTTAATCAACACCGGATTGGCCATAAATGTGTGCCCTTCATATACTACTTATGCGATAGAGTTGAAGCCAGCAGACTTTGTACCTACAAATCAATTGATTTGAGCACATGATAACACTAGCTAGGAGGTTATGGGTACCATTAAAATAAAGATTTTGGTAGGACCATATGAGCATGAAATTTAGTTCTACATCATGGATGTCCGGAAACTTTCAATTTATTATTGACCATGCCATGGTTGCATTAAATGAAAGCCGTTTCCTCTACAATGCACTAATTAGTCAAATACCCACATATTAAAGGGATCGCTACTGTCTTCGAAAATTCCACCATTCATCCTCTGTATGAAGTTAGTGTTAGAGATAAATCGTGGAGAAGAAGATGTTTTTCTTTCTAGATTCACTTTAGTTGAAACCCAATTAGTCCAAACTATCATGGAAAATGAGGACGGGATATACTTGAGTGCTTAGTCCATCTACTTCATGAGAAAATTAGGACATATCTCGGGAATAGGACATAGAAAGAATGTAGGAAAGGAATTACAGCGGCAGAGGAAGCCACCCACAACCCTTATTCATTTGGGTTAGGGTACAGACCCACAAAAGAAAATTGGAAGAAAAAAGGGGGATGAGGTGAAAGAAAGAACTAAAGCTAATAGGGCTGGCAGGCAATATGAATTAAAGTACAAACTGATCTTGGGAACCCTAAATGGTCGCTTTATTAGAGAGGAGATAATTTCCCCCTTTGCGGTTTTCCTGAACCATAAGTGAACCCCGAGACAAAGGAGCATCTCTCCAGGTTTGAGGTTTTCTTTGACTAACAACTATTTGAGAGTGAGGACGAGGAAGCAAACTTCGAAAATGGCCTGGACTAAGGCAGAAATAGCTATTTGGCTAACGCCGAAGAGGATAAAGTGGAGTTGATACTGGCTGATCGTGAAGCTAGCACTGAGTTATAGGGTTTTAAGGATGTCAGTGTTTTTGTGATTTAATCTATGCATAATGGATGCAATCTCAGTCAGAACCCAAAAATCATGTGGTGGCAATAGAGGTGCCAGTGATAAAAACTGAGGATTTGTCAAGGTATGATCCCAATTGATATATAGTACTGATTGGTCATCCAAAACTGAAGGTTGCATTACTTGATGCATTCTCCATTAATGTTATCAAGAGGGATATACTCGAGTAAGAACTAGACGACTTGACTGGTTTATAAGAGGATTTGGATAACCTTCATTTTTTCAAAAAATAGAATTTGGAAGATATATAATGCGAATGGTGGAACCCACACAATTTGGCCAATGTCCACGGATAGGCAAGCAGTATGGAGGATTCAGAAGTAGAAGGAAGTGATGAGGAAGCAAGGAAAATGGCACGACCCACTAGAAAAGCAAAGACGAAGGAAAAGGAAAGAAGGCAAAAGCAGTGAAACTAGAACCATATACTATAATTCAACCAACCAAGGTGACATACCTCAATCGTATACCAAAATGTCTTATTTGACCCAATTCTAGGTTTTCTACCAAGTTGGGGCTTATGTCTCTCAAATTTTCTAATGGCAATGTTACTATAACTACAAATATACGTTATATATAAGACTGCAACATCTGATCCTTTCAGACCTTGCAATAATAAGAGCCTTGTGCATTGGACTATTTTTTCTTTTTCTTCTTTATATCCTTTCTCGTACAAAAGCCTTGGGAGTAGGTGCTCCATATGCTATCTTTGCATTAAGTAGCTATTAACCTAGATCTTTTCTTTCTCTCTTCTCTTGCACAACTGCAAACACTAGTGAATCTATATGACTTTCCTAGAATTGAGGCCCCTCAAAGGATTGTCCAAATTGCCAATCAGCTGGCACAGCATCATAACTGGTGATTGACCTTCCATCGCTGCCTGTAACACGGAAAGAGAGGCTTTGACCATTGAGGTAAGAGTTGCTCTGCCAGTTTTGACCCCAATTCCTTGACATGACTTGCCACCCAGTCCTAGAGCCCTTGATGGACACTGCATGGACATCTCCTGCACCACCTACGTTTGTTATCAACACCAAGTTGAAGTAAGAATGGCCATTGATAGTGAACCTCATTCCTCCTTTCTTGGCACATGGTACCCTAGTCACAAACCAACCCAAACAAGAAGAGTTTTAGTTTTATATGTAGGCAAATGTTGATATTTTGGTAAGTTACAATGAAAAAGATTTTAAATATCAACTGATACGTATTGATTTTTTGGTTTCACTCTTGCTCGACAAAAATCTTAGCTCCACCGTGCCATGGGAATTGGTATTACCTTCTGAAAGATACGGGAACAATTCCAGCTCGATATTGAGCAATCTGCAAGAAGGCAGGCTCTGCCAAATCAAAGTGTTGGCGAGGGGGATTGCACCACCCACCGTTGTCATTAGAGAGGGCGTAATTTGGTGGGCAGAAGTTGGTGGCAGTGACAGTAATGGTGTTGTCAATGCACCATTGGGGATCGTCGTTGCACTTCAGCTCATAACATGCTCCGCAACTCAACCCATTGCTGAAGAGGGCTGTGCTTAGAGCCGCAGTGCTGGTCCCATACCCTTGTCCATACAAGTTTCCATACCCACATGCACCCCCTGCACCCACAACATATCACATGAAACATGTATACATATATTCTATTAACAGCACACTCATCGAGTATGCATAAAACGCTAGTACATATAATCTATTCTTTCTATTATATATATACTTGAGAGTTAGTGTAGACTG